CAAATTGCAATCAAAAAACAGCATGAAATTCAATTAAATCAAATTTAAAAAAAAAAGAAGCGAAACTAATGTGATAACTCTATTCAACCAAGAACGCATTACCAATTCCACACAGGGAAATCAAAGACTGGATCAATTCCATCAAGCAAAGAATAAAAGTTTTGTGCAATTAGAAGGATAAAAATGGTCGGGTTAATCAAAGAAGCCGCTGAGCCACATAGAGAGGAAAGGAGCAGAGAGGGAGGGAGAGGGAGACATACCTGGGCAGCGTCGATGGCGGTGCGTGAAAGGGCATCGTAGCAGTTTCGTTATGGTGAGGCAGTGATGAGACAGAGATGCGTAGAGTGATGAGAGAGAAGAGAAGAGAGGGGTGGCGAGAGAAACAGGGGAGAGCGGAAAGATATCGTAGATGTTGGTGGCTGTTGGTGACCTGTGAGTGGCGGCCGATACGGTGAAGAGAGGGGAATAGCGTCTGTGTTGTTGAAAAAGGTGAAGAAAGAAGACAGAAGTGAGGGAGAGTAGAAGAGAAGAGGGGCGGGCGAAGAAAGAAGGGTGTTGTGCACAGAGAGAGACAATTGAATTGGGTGAGAGGGAGAATATATAGGTGTGAGGTCTAATTGAATTAGGAAAGCAGAGAAGAGAGAGAGAGAAGTATTTGAATTAGGAAAGCAATGAAGAGAGAAGTATTCGAATTTGGAAAGCAGATTGGAGAAGATCCGTTAGGCAGAGGGGAAGATTTAGTCATTATTTGGCGTGATTGAGGTCAAGGAAAAGAGTAAATTATATTTTGTATCCTTAAAAATTTAATATTTTTTATTTTACACCTTTAAAAATTCAATTTTTCATATTTTTCCTTCAATATATTAAAAGTTATTGCAATATAGTTCTATTGTTAATTTTTACTACTCATTTTGTCAACTTCAATAAAATAATTTTGACAGAATAAATAACTAAAGATAATGGAAGTATCATATTAAAATATTTTTAATACATTGAAGGTACAATGTAAAAAATTTCATTTTTGAGAGTATAAGCAAAAAAAACTTAAATCTTTCATATTCTCCCATGAAGTATGGGCTGGTTGGCAAAGGTTGCAACTCATGGGCTGTTTTTAAGGCCTAGGGTCCATCGAGATGTGTGAGAGAACGTCGACATTAAATAATAACAAAAATTTGTATTCATGTCCACCCCTAGGCCAAATGGCATCATCTAACCTTTTTTTAGGGAAGAGTTAGACATTCAGTCAGGTCGAGTATAAAATTATGGGACCAAACCATGGCTCGGTTGAAGATTCAGTATTTTTTTTTATATATATTTCTTTGGTGTTGAATTTATGGACTCGATTTTCTTTTGTCCCTTGAATTTTCACATTATTTCCTAAATTATTTTGCATTACACCAAATACAAATGATTGCCTTCTTTTTGATAGGAATTGTTAAGTTTTGGGATAAAGTAAAAAAAATCAAATTTTTCTGAAAAAAAAAAAAGTAAAACAATTTTTTTTAAATTTATAATGAATGTTAATCGTTGAGACGATGTTAAACTAATCACACGATTAAGTGTATGATGTAAAATAAATGATATTTATGGGACAATATTTAAAAAGAGTCATAGTAAAAGGGGACAAATATATAATTTACCCTTGTTATAGTCACACATCGTTTATAATTTATACCAATTCATCACGGTAAATTTGTCATCTAAATTTCAACATTAAACTAGAGAGGGCACACTATAATATTTTAAATTCGGAGGGTAACCTCCTCAAATCGGTGCAAATAGTGAGGCCATTATTGTAATTATCTCCTCCTTCTCAGGGTTAGTGTTGGCCCCATATAATCCACTCAGCAATCGCATTCTAGGGTTTTGTGAGCCAAAGAACAGAAAGAGGATACATGCTCTGTAGCTGTACCTCGACGCCTTTCCTCCTCCTCATCGGCTCTCCCCTTCTCTCTCTCTCTTTCTCTGTGGATAGCGCTCGCATCTCTCTTTACAGATCATACGATGCAGTCCGATGAAGGTGCCACGTCCATGGAACTTGAGAAAGTTCTATCTGAATCAAATCGTGTATCTTTTGCTTCAAAACCAAACTTTGCACCTTTGNAGTCCGATGAAGGTGCCACGTCCATGGAACTTGAGAAAGTTCTATCTGAATCAAATCGTGTATCTTCTGCTTCAAAACCAAACTTTGCACCCTTGAAGGTTCATGAGATATCTGATAGTCAAGTTCAGTTCAGGAAAGTCTCTATACCACTGCATCGATATACGCCTCTCAAGAAAAGCGTGGATGAAAATTTACACTCCTATATACGAGCAGATGAAAATCGACATTTCTATGAATCTCAAGGCTCGCAAGGTTAAATTGAAGACCAGATCAGACACACCCGACATCAGTAACCTCCAAAAATGTGTTGTTTTGTGCACGCTTTCATGCTTGGATTCGACGTGATTGACGTCGTTGCACTTCTACTCATGGACAAACTCTATGTGGAGTCTTATTAGATCAAAAATGTGAAAACCCTTCGAGGCGAGCACTTGTCTCGTGTCATTGGAAGATTATCTGGTAAAGGGGGTAACACTAAGTTTGCAATTAAGAACTTTACGAAGACTCGGATTGTGATTGCAGACACCAAAATTCATATACTGGGTTCTTTTGCCAACGTCAAAATTGCAAGAGATTCTCTCTGTAGCCTTATCATGGGGTCCCCTGCTGGCAAGGTTTATTTGAAACTTAGAGCAGTTTCTGTCAGATTGGCAGAGAGATTTTGACAATGTTGAGCATTATACTATTTGATTGTACCTTGAGCTGAATTTTCTGCTCAAAAATACTATTTTAAAAGGTAAAATTGCAGTGGTTATGCTTGTTCTCATGTGTTTGTCCAGTGAATGGTCTAATTTGCAGTTTGAAACTTACCTATATGGCAAGACTAATGTCATGCCTATAAAAATATTTATCAAAAGATATTTTTACTAAATGAGTTCACACCTTCATTTCACTCTTGAACCCCACCAACTCATTTGGTAAAAGTACTTTTTGGTATGAATTGCATTTTTCATATGCAATTATAGGTGCTTGCTGGATTTTTGCCTGTAACTCCTTACTAATTACTCTTTCACAAGGGTGGGATCTCCAAAAGCTAGACATTAGTTTCATAATTTGTTATGGCATTTCATTGGAATGCTTTTGAGACTATTTGTTATCAACTTAGGCATCTATTACTAGGGAGCGAGGTAGTGATTGTCCTTAGATTGATTTCTTATTAAAAAAAAAAAGCAAAATTTACTGCTAGTCCTAGAATTTGCATAGTATGGGGGTAAACCAATAGTCCACCTTTTTCTTATGAAAGAAATTCACAAATTGAGACATGGATTAAAAAATAAAAAAAAACAAGTATCCATTAAAAAGGGGGAAAAAAGAAGGGAAAATAGAAGAAAAGAAGGTCCTAGATTTTGATGAGTCAAGTAGAGTGAACATGTTCAAATGGCATTATCGAATCCATCAAACTAGAACCCTGTATACAAGTTTACCAGAAGCGTTCCAATGTCTATAACATAAAGTATCAATCTTGGTCAGGTAAAGCCTCAACTGTAGAATTTATGCCATTTCCAATATGCGAAATAATTTCAAAAAGTAGGCACTCTAGTCTAGGGCCATATAAACCTACTCTCTAAACCCAAAAAGCAAAGAGCTTTTGTAGTTGTACTAAATTGACAAACCAAAAAGATGATATATTTTCCAAACTCACACACCTAGATGAAGCAATTAATTCAAAACAAGCACTAAAAAGATGATAAGTTTCCATCAAATTCAATCTGGATTTTATCTCAATCTTTTCACAGGTGATCATGCTTAGCTTCAAATTTAAAAAACCCAGATTTGTGTGTTGGACTTTGATTAAATATCAGGCTAAAGTCTCAGCGTTACTTTCTTTTTTGTTTCATACGTTCTTGATATGGATTTAACATAACTATGTTAACTAATGGATATTCTCTACATCAAAAACTGAGTTAAATACTCTTATGAATCTAATGTTTTGCGAGAGTTTGGGATGAATTTCAATTTGCATTTGGTTGGTATTTGATTTTTGTGACTAATATAATATCCATCTTCTAGATCTAATATTAGATGTCATTTTTTTTAGTCTTGATTCTATGAAATGTATCACTATTTCTAATTTTAAATATTATGATGTACTAAATATTCTAAAACATATTGGATTGAATAGTTGGAGGTAGTTTTAGGTGGTTTGATTGATTGACTATATTTTATGTTATATACCGTCTTCAAGCTTGCTTGTAATTTTTTTGTTTGTTAAATAGTATCTTCAGACACAAACAATTACTAGTTTATATAATAAAATAGAACAAGTTTTGAATTCAAAGACAAAAAAATGACTAAGCTCGTTTTAAGATAAAAAAAAATATATATATCATCCGACGGACGATACTATCTCGATTTGTCACAAACTATTAGGACCTGTTTGGTACGTGGGACAAAGCGGGATTTGGAAGATGGGTTGAGGAATAAAAGTCCACAAAACCCAACAAACCCATGTTTGACATCTACATTTATAACCCAATTTACTAAACTCAGCCTGCAATTTAAACCCAAGTTCATGGGTTTCATATGGAGCTTAATGGGTTTAATATACAAAATGACATTTATACCCCCATAAAACTCATGTACCTAAATAAACATGAGTTTGGATTAAATTAGTTAAGGAGCACAATAGTGATTTATATACAAATATATTATCATAATATTTATATATCCATGCGCATACTAAACATGGATATAGACTGCATTGAATGTTGAATCTCATCTTTAAATCTCATTTCTGGGATTGGAAGGGTTTGGACAAATCAATCCAAACCCAAAAAACCAACCCAACTGCCCTTTAATATCTCAGATTATCTCAAAATTTATTGTTTCTACGCACCAAAATGAATTCTCAAAATTTTATATTGCCCAAAAAACTTTGGGGTTGTTTGTTTGCTGTTTTATATTTTTGTTTTGAGTTTTTGTAAAAAAAAAAAAATGTGTTTGGTAATTAATTTTGTGTTTGTTTCATCTATGTTGTCTTGGAAACAAACTAAAAAAATGGGAATAAAAAACTGATGTTTTGGGAAACAACCCAAAACTAAAACACGCGAATCGTCAGTCAAAATTTTTTAGAAAAAATTACACTCAAACCGCTGAGGTTTGTCATTTAATCATTCAAACCCCCTAAAATTAAAAATTACATACAAACCCCCTAAAGTTTGTACACACGTAATATTTAGACCCCTGTCGCCAAATGTCTGTTAGTATATCTATTAATAAATTAAATTCAGACCCCTTAAAGTTTGTAAGTATATAATATTTACACCCCTTAAGTTTAAAATGATATAATTAGACAAAAAATATCCCCAATCAAATATAGAATATAAAATATTTTAAATTTTATAACCAAAATTCATTATCTATTGTATCATTTATTGAAGTAAAATTAAAAATAAAAGTCAATTTTTTTTCAAAAAATAATAATTAGTATACAATTATACTATCTATTGAAACAAAACTAAAAAAATCAAGCATGAGATTTAAGTCATTCATAACATAACATGAATTTTACAAACCAAAATTCATATTTTATTATGTCATTTATTGAAATAAAATCAAAAATAAAAATCTATTTTTTTCTTAAAAAATTCATAATTAATATATAATTATACTATTTATTGAAATAAAACTAAAAAATCANATCATAATTAATATATAATTATAATATCTATTGAAATAAAACTAAAAAATCACAAATTAGAGGTTAAACTATAATGAACACAATATATTTTAATTTTACTTGGGATAATTTGGTCGTTTAAATGACCAAATGGTCTAAGTAACTCCAGCTATATTAGCTCGATGCGCCTTTATGTATCAGGTATTAGTAGGCTTTGCCCCAAGAATCGTAGACCGGAAACCTGGAGGAGAAGGCAACATGCAACGGATGGAGCATTCAGAGAGGTTTTAGTTCACATTCATTCNAAACCTGGAGGATAAGGCAACAGGCAACGGATGGAGTATTCAGAGAGGTTTTAATTCACATTCATTCAACTGAACAAACGCAAGTTATTAAGTAAGATAAGGGTATCAAACTATAATGAACATAATATATTTTAGTTTTAATTGGAGTAATTTGGTCATTTAAATGACTAAATTAAATTCTAATAGATAGTATGATTATATACTAATTATAATTTTTTTTTTAAAAATAGATTTTTATTTTTTATTTTATTTCAATAAATTTAATAATAGAATATGAATTTTGGTTGTAAAATTTAAAATATTTGATATTCTATTTTTAATTGTAGTATTTTTGATCTAAGTATAATATTTCAAACTTGAGGGGTCTGAGTATTACACACTATAAACTTAAAGGGTTATGGATGTAATTTATTAATGAATTTATTAACACATTGACGACATGGGTTTAAGTGTAAGTCGTATACAAATCTCAGGGGGTTGTGTATAACATTTCAAATATCAGAGGATCTAAGTAATTAAATGACAAATCTCAAGAAGTCTGAGTATAATTCTCCCAAATTTTTAATGAGGTCTCGAACCTTGTTAACAACAACATTGGATTATTTTTTTAGGGCTAATCTTAATTTGTATATTGAAAGATTACTTGAATCTTAATTTGTACTCTCAAAATTTAAAAATATCAATTTACACCTTAAAGACATAAATTCGTATCAATGTGCACCTCAGATTAACTGTCATTCATTTTGTCGTTAAAAAAATTTGGATTAATTATAAATTGCAGCCTTAAAACTCAAAATTTTCATATTTATGATCCAAAAATAGTATTTCTTTCATTAATACTCGTTAATTAGCTCTCAATTGTATTGTACCATAACATTTTGTGTCATGTTCGAATCAATAAAAAAAAAATTTAAAAATTTTTAAAAATTATAAAATACATATTTTTTGCTTATTATACTTGTTAAATAGTTTTTGTCTACAATTAGACACAAATTTTCTGTTCAATCAAATTAAAGTTAGATTTGAATAACACAAGTGTAGAAAAAAAATAGCTATTTAATGAGCATTGTAGGTAAAAAAATAAGTATTTTTTGTAATTTAAAAAAAATATTAAATAGTATTATATAAATTGTAGTAAATGTGAAATATACGACATAATGCAATTGACTCGATATGAAAATATTTTGTGTTAAAATTTTTTTTTTATCGACTTGAACACAACACGAAAATGATATGACATGATACAAAATAACGTGATACGACACAATTGAGAGGTATTTAACAAGTATTAATAGATAAATTCTTTTTTAATCATAAATGTGAAATATTTAAACTTTAAAGGTGTAGTTTGTAATTATTCCAAACTTTTTTAACGGCAAAATGGATGGTAGCCAACCCCTGGTGCACATTAACATAAATTTATGTCATTTAGGGTATAAATTGATATTTTTAAACTTTGAGGGTATATATTAAAATTCGAATGATCTTTTAGGGTGTAAGTTGAAATTAGCCCTTTTTTGTTATGTAGGTATAAATTGTGGGTTTTAGTTGTCTCGCTCTGGTCTCACACACATGCACACACATCTCTCATCTCTCTGTTTTGGACGATGAAGACTGCCAAAGAACAAACACACTCGAAAAAGGCAATGAAGCTTTGCTCCTCGATGCTTTGAACCCAGAACCCGAAGAAGTCATCTATGCAGAAATTCCATCAATCTTTTTGTCTCTCGCTGTGCATAATAGGGTAAACACTTTTAGATCTATGTATATATATATGTTTTATANTACATAGATATATAGGCATTGAATAGGTCCCCATATCTTTTTTTTTTTTTTTTGTTTTTTTCCTAAACAATTCTATGTCATTTTATGTGTTATGTATCGATGTGTGTGAGTTTGTGTGTGCTGATCTGTTGAGCGTGTGCTATGTGTTGAATGTGTGATATGTTTAATGACTTATTTAATATAATTATTTTATTTTATGTGTTATTTGATGAATTAACGAATGTTTTGAGATAATAAATTTTAATTTGTATTTTATTGTACGTGATATTATAAATATTGATTTGTATTTGAA